GGGAAAGTGGCTTGGCCTGAGTCACACCGTGAAGTTAAAACAGCATGCTCCCAGCAATAAGCATCACCCTGGCTTTCCTACATGGCTGCCAACTCCACAACCTTGCTCCTTTTTTGTACTTTGGACACCAGATTGACTGGCTTTGGAAGCAGGTCTGAACTGTGTTGTTGATAAATGAAGCAAGCTTTCCTCAGTTTGCTATTTTATGGTCTTGCTTTGTTTCCTGCTTGGCAGGAGGCCTCATCATTGAAAATCTCTAAATGTTCAATTTGCCCTCCACTCAAATATAGCAAAGAACTCTCGATATCCCAGAGGTCCTTTGGGGATACTGAGGATGAAGTAGGGAAAGAAGGACCTGTCTCATCTGTAAACAGAGAGTGCTCTTTTGTTCCTGGCCTCCCAGACCCGAATAATCACACAGAAACTATATTAATTACAACACTGTTTGGCCAATGGCTTAGGTGTATTCCTAGCTAGCTCTTACATCTTGAATTAACCCATTTCTGTTAATCTGTGAATTGCCATGAGGCTGTGGCCTACCGGTAAGGTTCCAGTGTCTTTCTCTTTGGTCAGCTACATGGTGTCTGCCTGACTCTGCCTTCTTTATTCCTGCATTCAGTTTAGTTTTCCTGTTTAGCTCTATTCTGCCCTGCCATAGGCCAAAGCAGCATCTTTATTAACCAATGGTAATAAAACATATTCCCAGCAAACAGAGGGGAATCCCACACCACTCATCTTTTCCACAGGTGAACATTAGACCACTTGGAGCATCATAGTCTCCTGGAGACCTTCTAAAACCACAAATGCTTGGGCCAGGAGTGCAGCGCGGTGCTATACCATCTGTCGAACCTATGTAGGGCCCTGGGTTCAATCTTCAGTGCCACAAAACAATACCCTGGGGCTTGGCCAGCTCAAAGTGGAATTTTCCCCTTCCCCCCATGGAACACAGCCCCAATAACAAGGGAGACCCCTTGAGTTGAGAAGCGGCGGTTCAAAGCAGCTGTCACCTAGCTGACAGGCACCTTCTTCGTGAGATAGGAAGTACCGCTGTCTGTATGTAAACTTTGAGCGTTACCATAAGCACACTGTCCTGCTGTCTGGGCATTTTTCACATGCTACCTGTTGTCTTCACGTCATTGCTTTAAATCTTTGCTTCTTATACCCTCAGGGAGCTCCCAGAGAGTAGGTAGTGTGTTTATCATAGCCTATTATTATTGTACCCAAATGTCAGCTTTGTTAACACAACAGCGCATGTTCAGTGCACATTAATTGAACTGATGGAAGTCTTGTAGATGGGAAATCTGACATAATTTATTACTTATTTGGACAGATGCTCTGTGTCCTTTGGAAGCAAAATGATCACATGGGAAAATACTCATGGAGACAGAAGCCCTGGCTTCCGATCCTGACTGTGTCCTAAATTCCCATTGTGACTTGTAGTAAGTCACTAGTTTTCTCTGGCATTGAATTTCCTCATAAATGAAGCCAGGATTGATATATAGGCTTCATCCTAGTGCTGGACTTGGGATATTCTGCAGAGCAATGGGAAGTCTTTGTCTCCTGTGAAGGTGTGAGTGTCTTTAAGAAGTGTGAGCCAGTTCCAGGTTCTGACTTGAGAAGCTCGGGCAGACAGCAAAGCATGTGCTTTGGTCAAGGGTCTATGCCTTGTGTGTGTGGAGAGGAGAATGTTGCTCACTTCTCATTCATGTCCTTGGCTTTGACTGGACTCTTCCGTCCCAGGAATGTCAAACATTCACTATCTACATGCCTGTTCCGTTCTTTTTATGAATGAGCTGTTGCATTCCAGCTGGATTTCTGCTTACTCCTCGGGATGTTTCTAGTCTGGACTAAAACATTCGTTATTGTGTTTGATAAAGCTGTTCAAGTGATGTGCTCCGAGGAGGACAAGAGCAACGCGAGGCGCCAGACTTTCTTCTTTTTCTTTCCTTCCTGGAGCATCTCATTTACTCAGAAAGTCGGCACACAGACATGGCGGCGGGGGGGTGGGGGAGTTGTGCTACAGTCCATAAGGAAACACATGGGAGCTAAGGGTTGCTTACAGAAATCTCCAGTACCTAGAATGGAGTGTGTTACATAGGTGATATGAAATATAAAGATCTGAAAGTGAATGAAAATGTCCATAACTCTCCAACGTTTTTGTTTTAAAGACACACCTTTAATGGCATTGTACCTTAAGCTCACGAAATGAATGAGGTAGATATGCTACTGTCTTAACTGAGGAAAGCTAGGGTCCAGTTCTGTGTACTCTCTCCTCTGGGATCCAGAAGGTTCCTCCAGTAGAAATGAGAAGTGGTTCAATTCTTGTTCCCTCCCCCAGTTCATCTCAACAAAATATATAGAATATTATTTTTCAGTGGGGACATGGGTATCTGAAAAGAAAATACTGCAAATTCCCTCCTCCCACCCTCACTCCAGGGGTCCCCCAGTTATTACTAAGAGCATGGAAGAGGCTACTTTCACTAGGAAACTTGATCCACCAATGTATATGAGACTAGTGTTTGTTTAACTTAAATAAAAGAAGGAAAGAAAACTGCTGTGCTAGTTGTTCCAGCGTTCAGTAGAATGCTTGTTGGATATAGTCTACTACAGTGGATTACAGTGTAAAGCTCTTCTGTGGAGTCTGGTATGGCAGTGACCAACTAGGTGCAGCTGCCCTTTGCCCCAGTGTACCCTGCATTGCCCTGGGGGCACCCTGCATTGCCCTGACATTCAGAAATATTCCAAACGCAATTCATGGTCAGCGTCGTGTAATGCAGATGTCCGGAAGACCTTCGTGGAGAGCACATTCTTCTCCACTTGGAGGACTGTGACCCTCTGCCCAGCATGGCTGACATCTTTCTTTCCCCATCACCAATAGGTCAAGGAGAGACAAAGTCAAGGAGCTTACTTGACAGAGTGGTCTGAGAATCAAGGCACACCCCCATCTCTATCTTTGGAAAGCAATCTGCGGTAATGTTTTAGAAAGGTCGGAAGGATAATGCCTTTCAATTAAGAGGTTTCATTGTTACTGGTGTCATGGCCCTTTCATATGAATCTCTTTGTGCCCTACAGATTGTCCTTCATTATAGGAGGACACTTATACATATAACTTCGTTATATGCCAGAAGCGGTAGGCATAAAACTAGTTCTGGGAGTTCCATTTGACAGTAAACTAAGGGGTTTCACTCCGTTCAGGAGTGCCACAGTTCAGACAACAAGCCACCAGAAACAGCAGCTTATTCCCTGCTGACTTGGCTCCACCTCCTCCATCTCCTGGTCAGTCTCCTGCTAGGCTTCCTGTCTTTGCAATCTAGCTCAGGCTGGACTCTCATAGATGACAGCATTTGCTGCCACTGGATCATCTCCAGTTCCAAGCATCCCCTCTGCCCCCTGCCATGGCATATGGAATAGTTATTTGGGATTCAGTAGTTAACACTTGAAATTTGGTTTTAGGATCAAGAACACTCAAGGTTGGGATGGGGGAAAACTGTAGTACAGGGTCTGCTTGACAGCCAATGTTGACAAAGCTAAGACTAGACCAAGTTTTCCTATGCTGATCCTGCCTTCCTTGTTGGATGCGGAGCCCACTTTCATTTCTTGCTTCCTTTTAGTCTATAAACTGCCTTCCTTCTCTGCCCTGAGCCTACTGTCCTCTCGGACCAGAAAGAGGGGATCTGGAGAGTGCTGCCCAGTATCTGGACTTACTCTCTGGGACCTTGGTATTTGTTAGCTTATGTCTGGATTAAGGACCTCAGTGCCCGGAGAAGGTCTGACATCGCAGTTCTGATACAAGATTTCATCCCAGCTAAAAACCATCCCAGACAGTTGTTTGTTTAGAAGTGAAAATAACTGGTTTAGATGATATTACCCAAAGTCCCCCAGCTAAATGGTCACAGCAGGAGCCGACTTGGTGGCACTCTGCTGGGACTCTTTGATCACTATCCAAGGACCTCTAGGCACTGGCGGAGGGGAAGCCATTTGAGAGGAAGGCTGGACTCTGCCTCCCTGTTTGGAGCTGCACAACTGTCCCTGAAGTGTGATATTCCTCTCTGTATGGAAACCTGTCTGTTCATTGTGTGCACGGCTTTTGTCTGAAATTTAGGGGCTGGCAGTAAATCTCTGGGTGTTGTGGAACCAATCTGGCATTTTTTTTAAAGTTTGCCTGGTCGAGATCCCACCCCCATCCACCCAAGTCAGGCACTACTACTAATGTCCAACCTAGCCCACCCAAACTCAACAAACTCAGCTTGTGCCTATCTGGTGTCTGGGTCCTGGGGTCCGCGAAGCACCAGCTGGATGCCCACTGCTCACTCCTGCACTGGTTCTGGAGTTAGGGGAGAAGATGAGGAGGGCCCAAGGGACACCTCCCCAGGGTCCGAGTCAGCAATCCTGGTCTTCATGCTCCCATTGCTGCCCAGCACGGGCTGCCGAACTTTTTTCAACCACTGGATCCGTTGTTTGGAATTAGCAGTCTATGTGGGAAACAGAGAGCGCTCTCCCGAAATTGCTCTAAGTCTCTTTGGGGAGATTCCCCCAGGAAATTCAGGAGCTTCAGTCGAAGCACTTAGGGCTGTTCCAGGGAACAAAGGGTGAGGGCTTCTTGGGTGCCCCTCGGCTACCCATTGCATTTGCATACGGCAGCCATTGCCCCCTGGAGGGGAGCCTGCCTCTCCGGGGCAGGGGACTCTAGCAAGCGGCTGGCAAAGAGGACCTGTTTGCTGGCTACTTTGGAGGTGAGATGGAAAAGCGTGAAAGAAGAGGTTGCATTCCTCTCCCTGGTCCAGAAAAGATTCGGGTCGCGAGTGGGAAATAAAGAGTAAACACAAACAACCTCAAAAAAGAAGCCAAGAAACACGAAGCCAAAAGCAGCAAGCACAACACTGTTACAAAACTGTCTGGTTTTGTAACAATTTCCCCGCTGCCGGCCAATGAGCAGCGTGGGGGTGGAGTCACGTGGTGACGTTTTATATAACGCTTTCCTGAGACAAGACAGTTATTAGGCGGCGCGGGGCAGTCGGCATGGATCTCCGGGAGGCGAGGCAGAGCCAGGCGCACTGCGATCCCGCGTTCACCGCAGCGCAGCTCGTTTCCGTCCGCCGCTCCTTCCTGCGAGTTTCCTGTTCCTAGACGCCTCTCCTCTACCTACCCACCCGCAACCTCCGCAGGTTTCTCTCTTTTTGGACTCTTTTCAGACTACACAGATGTTGAGCTTGCCCGCCGAGCTCGGCAGCAACAACTTAGAACTGGCGGAGCTGGCGGAGCCGGAAGAGCGGGGGGCATCAGTGGCCCGAGGAGACTCCGTAGCCCACCCAGAGGCATCTCCCGACGGCTCTGAACCTCCCCCGAAGCAAGAGATGGAGCAAACACCGCAACCGGGGACCTCGACGCCGGCAGAGTGCAAAGCCCTGCTCACACAGGCGGACACCTTGGCATCCGGAGGACGCCTTCGGGAAGCCCTCGAGGTATACAGGCAGCTCTCGGAGAAGCAGCAGCTAGTGGCCGAGCAGCTGGAGAAGTTTGTGCGCTGCCTGGCTAAGAGCGTCCAGCAAAAAAACCTCGTGGCGCCGGCTCCCTCATACCAGAGCGGCAGCTCGAGCTGCTGCGTGGCGGCCCTGAAAAAGGCAGCGGAGGCTGCAGCCATGGTCCCCGAGGTATGGGATGGCTTTAAGTGCCAAAAGTGTCACGGATTTCTCTCGGATCCCGTGTCCTTGTGGTGCGGCCACACCTTTTGTAAACTGTGCTTGGAACGTGGGCGGGCCGCGGATCGGCGGTGCGCGGTCTGCGGGCTCAAGCTCTCGGCCGGTGGGAGAGCTCTCGGGTTGCGGTGGGCTGGGCAGCAGGCGCCCCTGCAACTGCGAGTCAACGTGGTACTCAGCGGCGTTCTGGGCAAGTTGTTCCCGGGCCCGGCACGAGCGTCGCAACTCCGGCACGAGGGAAACCGGCTGTACCGCGAGCACCAGGTGGAGGCGGCTCTGCTCAAATACAACGAAGCAGTTCGGCTGGGTAAGTCCTCCGCGCCGCCACCGGGCCACGAGGGCTTGGTCACGACACGAGGGGGGCGGGAGGATGAACCCAGCTGCGAGGTGGGGGATGGACAGGGCAGAGTTGGGCGCGCGCGGGCGAGGTGGGGGAAGGGAGGGAATGGCCCGTGGCCCACGAGGAGGAGGAGGAGGGACCTTTCTAGGAGTTTGTCGTTTCTACTTTAGCTTTCTTTGGCTGTTATTGGTCTCTCTGGTGCTATTGCTTTTTTAGTTGTTGTTCATTTCCGTATCTCCTGTTTGCTTTTGTGCTTCTATGCCACCGGGCCCCAGTTTCTCTCTTTTTGCGCGTTTCTTCTCATCTTTGTCACTATTTTCTGCCTTGCGCGGTGTCACCGTCCCTATTTCTCTATCTTTCCTGGACATTTCAGCGCTCCCTCTTACACCTGCCGCTACCTTCCCTGCCAGGAGAGGAACTTGGCACTGTTTCTCAAACTCCCGCGCGGTCCTCCCGGCTTTTGCCAGCCAGAAGTGGCCCGCCGGCGCCCAAGTCCGCTGCTCCCTTCTCTGGGAGTTGTCCCTTCCGGGGCCGCGGCTCCCGGTGGGGTGGGTCCGGCCTGGAATTAGGTCAGGAGAGCACTGGTTGCATAAGGACCTCGAGCTGCCCGGGCCGGCGGCCCCTCCTCCGCGCGGGCGGGCGGACGGGCAGGCGGGCAGGCGGGGATTGTGTAACGCTGAGGTAACCGAAGTGGGCCACGCTCGCCTCGGAAACCATCCCGCGAGCGTGTGCGGGGGGGGGGCAGAAGGGGGGGCTCGCTCCCCGCTGCCCTGTGACTCATTGTCACCGCTTCCTATCACACGATCCTTGGCTGAAATAGATGCACTTGCCCCACCCCCTCTATGCGCTGCAGTCAGACAGCCTTCGCCCTGACATCGAACCCTTTGACCCCTCTAACCCAACGGGCGGCAGGACCAGGCAACTTCCCAAGGAAACAAGGGACTGTCTACACAGGGGGCATGCCTCTGTCAATCTTCTCCAAAAGTTTCCAGTAGAGGAAGGGTGGGCTCTGTAACTTTTAAGGGCAATGCGGGAAGCCCCACATCTCTCCTGGAGTGGATGGAGCACGGGAGTTCTCCCGGGGACCTGTTTGCTCCACCAGCCTCCTCCTACTCAGATCTAGGAAGTGGCCTTGGAACCCCAAGCTGGTGCCAGCACCTCTGCAGGCAGGCTGGGCGCGGTGTCCAGAGAAGCATGCTGGGGAGGAGGCAGTGGGGCTAAGCAGACAGGGCTGTGGGATCCTAAGGCCCCCCCTAGACCATCTCTGATAGGTGGAAGTGGGATGGGATGGAGTCTCCACATGTTGAATCCCGCTCAAACTAGCAACAGGTAGTGTTGGCGGGAACAAAACCAGGGCTGACTGGACCCCATGACTGAGGGACACAGACCTTACTCACAAAACACATCCTGTGTGTGCCTGTACAAAACAGGCTCTGAGCTGCCAATGTGCAGTTCAGAAAAGTGGCAGAGAAGACTGCAAACTCCATGCTAAAGTGAAAAGCAAATTAGTGGCACCCAGGTCATCTCTGAGAGTACTCCTGAGGGACGGTCGGGGTAGAGGTAGACGTCAGAGCCCAGAACTTGAGGAAGAAGGCAGCAATGTGAATGGAATAGGCTCTGGCCACTTCTGAATGGAATTCCAAGGGTGGCTCTGTTTCTTTCATCCATTCCCCAAAGGCTGGCCAGGAAAGCCCTTTCTCAGGGTCCTCTTCTATCACCACCACCACTTTTCCTGGGAGCATCTTTCCTACACTTTTGTTAATCTCTTCAGAGCAGTCAGGGCAAAAAAAAATGGCAATAGCACTGTCACCCTGCTAAGAGGAAAAGGAACCTCTTCAACCGATGGTACGAAATGTATCCTGGAAATGGCTAGTGTCTTATTATTCAAAATGCTGGGCCCACACTCAGAAAAAGGAACTTCCCTTCACACAGGCCTTAAAAGATTAACCAGCCCTGTAGCTTCAAACCCTATCAACGTCATCTCCTTGTCCTTGTTTTTCCTATCTAAAGAATGGGGGGGTTGAAGACCTGTCCAGGCCTGAGCTCTAGTGATTCGGTGGTGGTGAGGGTGAGACCCCTAAAAGCCTTGTCAAAGTGCTTTTTCATTTGGCCATCGACGGGAGGTTGGACCTGGTAAATGCGTATCTGTTTCCTCCAGGAAAGCTTCATATGCCCTGACCATATGGTGGTTAATGCCACAGGTAATCCCCGTCTGGAATACTAACATGGACTTGTCTTGTTAGAGGTCTGGCTGCCTCTCTTCCCTGGCTTCGTTCTCATTTGATACTGGCTCCCTCGGAAGCCAGGTTGCTGGACACTAGCAGCCTGCATCGTTCATCTGGCAGAAGAGCACCAGGGTTTTCTTTAGGGAAAAGTTTCTAATGTATCATGGACACTACACCACCTAGCGCCAGCTTGCAGAAGGAGGGCGACATTACTCCTTTGCACGGAGAAGCTAGGGTGTAAAAGTCAGGCCGATATTAGGACTGGAAATGACATTTAAGCCTTTGGGTCCAGTGGAAAGAGCTTACGATCCATCCTCACACAGGACTTATCATATGCTTGTGCTGGGAGCCATTAATGAGGGCTTTTTTTTTTTCATTTCGGCAGCTCCAAATGATCATTTGCTTTATAGCAATCGGTCTCAAATTTATTTCACCTTGGAGTCTCACGAGGATGCACTGCATGATGCAGAAATAGCATGTAAACTTCGGCCAATGGGTTTTAAGGTGAGTGTGGGACAGGAGGGATGGGAAAGGGGCTGTCTGCAGCCAGGGATGGGCAAGAAGGCTGGCCCTCTGGGCCAGGAGATATTAGAGCCTGGGCTGTGCAGGGCATCCATTAATAAAGGAAAGTATAAGTCTGCAAGGAATCTTAGTAAGTCCACCTTCAATTGGTGACCTTAAGGATAGGCTTGTCTTCGTTTTTTTTTTTTTCAAAGTATGGAATCAGTAGCCACACAGCCTGACTTCGTGTCTCAGCTCGCAACTTTTCTTAACTGTATGGTCTTAGGAAAATCACTTAATTTCTGTGTCTAATGTCCTCATTTTAACATGCTTATATTCAAGGCAACTACTAAATGGGGTTGTCGTGGGGATTATACAAGATCATGTAGAGAAGATGCTCAGAACGATGCATGTAACATTGTATGAGTGTTTGCTATCACTGCCACCATCATCATCACTCTTACCATTTTCTAGGGAAAATAAGTAGAGAAATCTGAGAAAAATATTGCTGCCCTGGTCCTTAAGAATGTCTACTGATAACCAGGCTTCTTGGGAGCTTAAACAGCTTTCTTTAAAGCGATTGTCAAATTAACACAATAGCTGTGCCATTTGGAATCATTAATACAGTCATTTGATACGTCATCATGTATACCCCCCAACAATCTCGGTCAAAAAGGAAAGGTGAGAAGAAAGACAAGGTAGACTTCAAGACAGGGGATCCTGAATACAAAGTACTACTTTCTGCATCGTTGCCTGGCCTCAGGACCACCCTCTTCCACATGTCTGTATTTTGTTTAGAAGATTAGAACTGGGTCTGTGGCTCAATGCTTGCAAAGTGTGACTGTGCGGAAATGACTGCACTCTCCAACACTCACGTGTTCTTATTTGCTATCTGATGCTAGTGCTATCGGCCATGATCATTTTGCAGGTATGTGTAAGAATCAAAGGTGAGAAGAGCAAACTCTGCAAGCTACAAACTTTACAGGATATTGGTTTAAGAACCTCTGTCTACAGCCTGAGGGTGGGAAAAGCAGTGTCTCCAAGACCAGGGCCACTGTGCCTATCTGACGGTCACAGGAGCAGGTATCCTCTGGATGCAGAATGTTTCTCTGACCTTGGATTAGGCACCACCTTCAATAGTCTCCAGATAGCCTCCCAGTGGGTCTAATTAAACATACTTCTCTGCGGCACTTTACGTGCAAAATCACACTGATCAGGTAAATACCACAAAACCGTTTACATCAGTTTAGTTCAGATATTGCTGCCTAATGAATTTTGTTGTTGAACCTATGAAAACATCGGATCATTGAAAGTTTTACAGACCTAGGAACTTCAGAGAAGGCCTGATGAAGTTGGGTGTGGTGGCATGCACTTATAATCCAATCAGGATCCGGAGTTTGAGGCCAGCCTGGAGTATGACAGCGAGTCTGTAATATTAGAGTGAAGCTCACTGGTCTTTCACGAAAGCGTTTTTCGTGGATGATAAAGGATCATTGTGTTCTCTTTCCCAAGGAAGACATTTACAGCTTAATCCAAGTCACCAGTGCCTTAAGTTGCCATGGGGACGGGCTATTTAACATGAAAGCCTTGGGGTAAGGGGGGCTTCCCTGCAGCCTTTTTTACTGGAAAACTAAATCCAGATACCACGATGGGAAGAGGCCTGAGAAGCCTGTTGTAGACATAATGAGAAAAGGGGTTTCTACAGTGAAGAAAGAACTGGTATAAGTACTTGACAGGGGTTTCATTTCCCCACAGCTGGGAGGAAGAGGAAAGGGAAAGTTCAGAGAACTCTGTTGTCTTGGGGATTGAAAGGGTCGAATGCTCTGATTTCTGTATTTCCCACTATTTCTGGGTGAAATGCCATAAGGCCAGTAGACAGCCCAATTTCATCCATCCATCCAGGGCTCTGTGTCATTCCGTGCATCTTGCCAGCAGTACAGCCGTCAGCATAAGCTGGCCACCCTGAGAAAGTAGGCTGTGTGAGTTGCTACTGGATTGGTTACTAGTCATCCAGAGGTCTCTGCAGGTTCCCAGCACTGAAGCTGCTCTGCAATGACCGGCTAGCCTTTCTCCAAAAGGTCACTTTTGGCAGGAGCAAGAAGGAGGTGTGTCAGCCAAGATTTGGATCCAGAAAGAATTGAGGGCATGGATAGAGGTCCCCACTAGGTTTGTAGCTGTGGCCACTGCTCAAGAATCCTAGCCAGGTCCTGACACCATACAGCCACACGTTAGAAGGCAGAGGGATGCCTGACAAGGGATATTCATACTAGGCACTAAGAGGAGGCAGCCCCTTTACTCTGTTTTTTTTTTTTCTTTCATTCTTGCCCTGCTCAGGATTGCTGCTTAGGTCCTTATACAGAAATTAGTCCGGAGCACTTGGGTTTAAATCCGGAGGCCATGAAACATCCTTATATCTATAAAGTGTGCAGCAACAGAGGAAAAGACAGCTACGTTTCTAGAAACAAAAGCATTGGCTCAGTGACTGGTCTTCTGGAAGTTCTCAGGCCACAGTTTCAGTTTGAGATTGCTGCTAGAGAGGCCATGGTCTTTCTCTCAGGTCTCTGTAAAAGTGATGGGCTCACGTGAGCCACCACTGTCTTACAGACCAGTTCAAAGAGAGGCACGGCATCTCTGGATGAACATCGAAAACTGAGCTATTAGAGTCTGTGGTTAAATGGAGGCTCTGACATGTTTGTGATGCTCAGTTGTGGGGTGAGAGGAGGTAGTAAGCCTAGGAGCTAAGAATCTTGGCTTTGTATATAGTCAGTCTCAGGTTTAAACTTGAACTTTACAGCTTTCTGACTGTTGTACTTTGGTTAAGTTATTTCTTGGGATCCCCCTTTCATTGCCTTTAAAATGGGATTCATGATAGTTTGCCATTGTTACTGGTACAAAAATCAAAGTCTTTTAACAACACTCCACCCGATAGGGACTACTCGGTAAGCACTCAGCCATCGCTGTTGATAGTAGCTACATTAAGATGGTTATTAAGATGTGATTGACTGCTAACGTTTTCTTCCAGGCACACCTCAGAAAAGCACAAGCTTTAGCCACCCTAGGCAAGGTGGAGGAAGCACTCAGAGAATTTCTCTACTGTGTATCCCTTGATGGAAAGAACAAGAAAGCCAGAATTGAAGCTCAGAGGGTGAGTTGAATAACCCAGTGTCAGCTGCCTAGTGGACCCCCACCACTTTGTCTTCCTAGGGAGAATGATGAAGATGTGACCATCCTCAGTATCTGTGATCCTGAGTGGGTGGTTCTCTGGGTTTAAGGGTCATGAGAGAGATGCCAACTGATTGCCCAGAAGCACTGCCGCTCTGGTATGTACTATCAAATTGGCAGCTCCTACTGTTTTGTAGGAGCCAGTGAAGAATGTTTTGCCTTAGAGTCAGTGGGATAGAAACCACACTGCACCAAGTAAGCTAACCTGGGGGTAAAGGGTCACTGAGGATAGTCTGCTTGTCGATGAGAGATCAGGAGCCAGGGGGTGGGGACTGCTTGCAGCTGTATGACTTTGCTTTGCCTCAGTCACACATCTCACCAGTCACACATGGAGGACAGCTCCCGGGAAAGGACACTGATGATCTCCACATTGCTTGCCACATACAGAACTCAAAACTTCACCTCCTCTGCTAGAAAACTAAACCCAGTGTCTCAGAAATTCAAGTCAGAGTCCATTGTGAAACAATCCGATTAGTCCTTCCAATTCTTGGGCCCGGGAGATTGTGGCCGTAAAACAAATATGATGAGAAATACCAAGGACTTGGCTGAAGGGTCAAGCATCCTCATTTGATCCTCAAATGACTTTGTCATTTATCCTAATATATTCTTCTGGTGTCTGGAAGTGAGATGCTGACATTCAGTGGTTGTATTTGGTTTCCTGTCCCCATACACCATTCAACACCAGACCATAAGCCCTCCTATCCATTTATAATGGTTTGACAGGGAAAGGGGGGAAGAAAGTGAGCAAGAGACAGAACTGATTTCTGAAGACTCTAGAACGGAATATTTTAGCAAAACTGATAAAGTTGGCAGAGGCTAGACTCTGGATTTTCTGACTTTGGCATAGAATTCATTCCCTGTCTAGAAAAAAAAATGGCCTGGTTTGTGTATGTGGATAAGGTTTAATTGAAAGGGGCATGGCTCAGGTAGAATTATTTAGCAATCTATGGGCTGTTCCTAAAACTTCAGTGTAGTCTGTTCATAGTCTAACGTGACCTGAGCATGTAAGCCACTTGGTTAGTCCTCTCTGTATAAGGGTCCATATCATCCCCATAGCCTCGCTGTTATATTTCTCACCATGTTATAGATGAGACAAATAGGTGCGGACTCTAAGGCTCAGTGGCTTTCTTTTTTGTTCATTCCTCGGGTGGCCCAAGAGGTTCTGATATTATAAGCTGAACTAACTTCTCTCTTCAGTTTGCTTTCAAGGATGGCCTGTTGTCATTTCGATACCTGCCTGATGAAAGACAAGGCACTGTGGGAAACTGTAGAGACACAAGAAGGCCTAAGTTCCTCGTGGAACTTGTAATATTTTGTTGGTGAATATGACTGCCAGGCAATATAAATGAATGTGTGCTTAAATTAATGGTTATAAAACTCTGAAATTAATGTAAGAATTTGGAGGCAATTTTCTGCTGAGTGTCATGGAGCTATAACAGCCATGTAAATACAGTGAGCAGCTTCAACTGTGCGTTCACTGGATTATTCCAGTTATAGGGCTAAACATTTGCAAACGGTCCAGATGCGCTAGACATCAATAAGCCTCCTTAGAACCCACAGCCCTGTGCTTTATTTTAAACTACAGATTCTTAACCCAGTTGGGTCTTTCTCTGGCTGAAATTATATCAGAATGAACTTTCATTCATGTGGAACGATTATTCTCACTGAAAGCTGACCCTAACTTGTGTTTTCCAGAACCATTGAAAAGCTCTGTTCGGAGATCTTAGGTAGTAATGCTAAGAAGGGCACGGTTGTATTATTCCTGCCTTCTTTGTTTTGATTCTGACTCCTGGCCTCCTTTTCCTCACACTACCTTCTGTCTTTTCAATTTTGTACCCGGGGCCTAGATGGCCCCCTTCAGGGAGACTGTCTCCGAAGTGGATAGACCCTTTTGGGTCCCTGAGTAGGGTTTCTGTGAGCCAACATTGATTCCTAGGGATGAGTTAGCTCTGAGAGATTACATTTATGACCCTGGGTATTGTGGGCCTTTCCACCTTTGTCAGCTTATGCCTCGAAAGTAGGGGTTTTAACAGTGGAGGGAAGCAGAAGCATCTCTCTGAGGAGTTGAGGCACCTGAGTGCTAGAATACATCCTTGGATGTAGAAACACCTTCCTCATTTCCATGAGGGTGATGAGGGACATTTATCTCTGGCTGGAAAGAAAGACTTACTTCGTGACAGACTTCCAGTGCTGAGTGAGAGGAAATAGTTTAAGGTTCAGTCCCGTGGTCTGCAGAGAACGTGAAAGGGCAGGTGCGATCAGAGAGGTGTGAGTACTGAGGCAAGGCAGCTCTCAAGCTCAACTTTAAAGGCTGAGGAGGGCTTCTGTGCAGAGAAAGTGCTGAGGCAGAAAGGAGCGTCACGAAGAAACTGTGAAGAACAGACAAGAGAACAAACCAAACTTTGTGTTTAGTGTTTTTTTCAAGTTCTCTTGATGAAGTAACGCTCCTGATTATGTAGACTGAACTACAGTGTCAGGCATTCTCTAGTGAGCCTCCAAACATGGCAGGGTCGACTAGGTGAGGAACATTCGAGAAGCCCGTTGACATGCCCTCTCTTCTGCTTTCTTTCTCTCTTTCTCTCTCTCTCTCTCTCTCTCTCACGCACACGCACACATGCACACATGCACGGGTAGATAGATAGATACATACTTACATACAGTCCCTGACCCCTGATTGGCACAGGGAGGAACTGAAGCAAGAATGCGAACAACTAACACTGCAGCTTGCACTCAAATGCGTTCCTTTGTCTCCTAGACCCTTTCCTTCTACTTAACTTCTCCCTCATCGGTATATCCGATTGGAGGCGAACCTGACACTTTATACAGAGATGACCAGGAAGAGGAAGAGGCTGAAAGGAGAGAGGAAGTCTGAGCTCTGCTTTCCTAACATTTAATCACTCAGGTCCCCAGCTCTGAAGGGATTTAAAAAATCCAGGTGTGATGATGGGGGACTCGAAACAGACAGACGGAGAAAAACAGCAATAAGGAACCCAGTGTAGATTTGTGGACCTCTCTGCCCACGAAGCTGCTGCGGGCTTGACTCTGTATTCTTCAGCTAAGGTGTCCTTGTTTGCTTTGCTATTACTGTGGTAAACTCCATGATCCAAAGGAGCCTAGGAAAGAGAGGGTTTTCTTTCTTTACACATTCTGGGTTGCAGTCTGTCACTGAGGAAAGTCAGGGCAGGAACTCACGGCAGGAACTCGGAGGTAGGAACTCCTGCAGAAGCCCTGGAGGAATCTGCTTACTGGCTTGTGACTCAGGGTCACATTTAGCTACCTTTCTCAGACATACTGGGAGCACCTGCCCAGGAGTGGCACTCCCCAGAGTGTGCTTATTTTCCTGCATTAACCATTAAACAAGGAAATACCCACACAAACTTGCCTACAGGCCAATCTGATGTAGGCATTTTCTCAATTTAATCACCCTCTTCCCAGGACGACCTAGTTTTTATCAACTTGACAAAAACAAACAAACAAAAAAAACAACGAAAAATGAAAAACAAAAAACAAAATAACCCCACTAGCCAGTACAGGCATCTCTTCTGACTTAACTCCTATGTTTCCTTTGGTTCAGACAGATTTTCAAGCTCCATTGCAGGTATTTCTGCAAAATGGTGGCACCATAGAGGTGGCTCTTAACCTTGGTTAAGTAACAAAGGCATTTGTCTTGCCTTCTCTGGGTCATATTTCAGACCTTGGGAGACTGGAGCTGGACCCAGGAACCAACATTTTCATAAGTTCCTAGGTGACTTATTTGATAAAAAATACATGTATTTTACTTTTTAATATGTGTATGTGTTTGAATCTGTGTGTGGGTATTTGCACATGAGTACTGACACCTCTGGGTGTCAGAGGTGTCCGCCATCGCTGGAGCTGGACTTACAGGTGATCGTGAGCCACCTTACATGTGTGTTGGGAATCGGACTTGGATCTTCATACAAAAACAGTATGTGCTCTTAATGACTAAGTGATTTCCTGTATCCCTGTCCCCCGCTCCTAGATGATATTGATGTGTGTTGATGCAACAACCTCTCCTTAGTGTGTCTAGGGACACCGCTCCAAGGCTTCCTCAATGGAGTTTTGCCTTGCAAGCTGTGCTCTCTCGTCCCCCATCCCTCCCCCTTCACCTTAGTCTAGCACCTGTAGAAACTTGAGTAGTGAAGTCTTCTGTTTTATGTCACAGCTTCTCTTTAGTTTCTTTTCACCATCAGTCCCGGGGGAGTCTCAGGAACATTCTCCCGATATCCTGAAGCTGTTGGCACCTCACCCTAGATTAAAGGAACACGTAGAGTCAATGGCTACTGAAGGCACCAGCCATAATCTACCAAAGTTGTCACAGGTAAAACTCAACTCACCCAGCTCGCTCATGATGCTTCGTTTGGCTCTTTTGTGGGCACACGAGAAGTGAGCCCTACCTCTCCTACTTTGGTTCCTGAGTGAAAAAGAAAGATGTAGTCGATAATGGCTGTGTCCTTTGCTTAAAGCTACAACTGGGAATTTCAGGCATGCTCCAAAAGTTGATTTATTGGTTAATTTATTTGTAGTCTTGGTCAGATCTGGAAATAGAAAGATTTGATAGAAGTATAAAGAGATTGGCCCACTTCCCTTGGAACCCCGTAATTGGGGTGTGCTTATTGGTTTCAGCTTTGGGGCACATTCAAGCTGATGGCCTTTGAGCACCAGTGAGAGCTTTGTGCAAGGGTGACTCCATTTGGGGAGCAAATGGAGGGACTTTCTTGTTCTTGCACTATGCCTTCCACATAAGTAGGCTTCTCATGCACATTTCTAGCAAAGTAGAGGTGCGAGAGTTGACTTGAGAGTGAAGACAAGTGTTTGTAGTTTTCTTTGAAAACAAGGGAACCAAATGCCGAGGGATGGGGCATTAGGAGCTGGCCTTTCTAGCACAGGGTAAGTGGGCAGAAGTTGGGGCTCAAAAAAACAGACTTTAAGCAAGATTTAACATTGAATTGCTGGGCACCTTTGGGGAGCAGTTTCCATTTGTGCCTGAAGTTCCTTACTTGTATATAAGCCCTGGATGCTCACGTCTTCCTAGTTTTTGTGTCTGCTCTAGAGAAGGAATAAAACCCAAGGCGGCTGTTTTTTCTTGGTAAAGGCAGAACTTGGAATATCTCCTGAAATCAGAGAGTCCCTAGTGGTCATTAGTAGATGACTAACGCAGCTAACATGAGGACCCAGGGTCTGCAGTGGGGAATTCGATTTGCCACTCAGTCTAAAATGAAGGAAACAGAGCTTCTGGCTTTTCAATGTGAGCAGACTGGGGAGCAGCAAGTGTATTTTCACCCAAACATTGTTTTGCAATGCCTTGGGGTCTTATGTGGACAGTGCTCTGGGCTCATGGAAAGTCAAGACTGTAGTGTTATTTAATTTAGTACTTGAGAACCCCTGGGATGTAGGATGAGAAAAGCCACGTCCTCTCCTTTCCTCTCCACTTCTTTGTTTCTTCCCGCCTGTGTCCACTAGGATTGCTGGCAAGGGTAGAGGAGAAACAACGGAAAGTGAGCCTTTTGCTGTCAAATATTGATTTCGATTGCAGAAGAGAGCTTCTCCGGAGCACTGTGCATAAGCACATCTTTGCAATTACTTTTAGTTCCGCTTCCCAATACCTTCCTAGTGGACCAAATTCTCTAAAAGGCTAGAGACCAGCTATTATGCCAAACTATTATGTCTCTTTTTCAGACTTTTCACCCAAAATTGAGGGAAAGGAATGGATTGTCCCCTGCTCCTTTGATGAAACTAGCATACAGCCCTGGAACATGGGCTGCTTTGGAAGGCCTGTACAGAGCTGGCCCCAAAGCCTTTCCTAAAGTCCTTTAAAGAATGGCGACGAATGATGGCAAGGGTGAGAGGAAGTATCCGGTAACAGGATACCCCTCACAGAATGCTTTGCTTTCCTCACAGACCACCGGGGAGTGATGTGGATAGGAGGGAAGAGTGGTGCCTTCCCTTACAGTCCCTTTCTCCCCTGCCCAGGAAGCTTTTCCTCCCATGTGCCTTTTGGCCGTGCCTAGGGAAGTCCCCTAACTCTATTTAAGCAAGGCAAGCCTTTGACATAGATTGGGTGTGAGCAGTAAGCCCCATGACTGGCCCTCCATTGAGTTATGTATCCACTGAGAGGTCAGGAGTGAAGAGCAGGATTATGTTGTTTCCTTTTTGTCCCCTAAGGGGACAATATTGGAGGACGATATTGGTCTCTAGTCGATTCTGATATCTGGCTTTTGCTCCATCTAGGAAAGTCCAGAGCTTCCACACTGTTCAAGTCAGGAGGAAGCAGCAGCTCAGGGAGAAAGCAGCAGCCTGAAGAACTCAGCTCAAGTAAAGGTGGGGAGTCAGGAGGACAATGGAAAAGATCAGGAAGAAGAGAAGCTCAATACTGCCTCCATCAGGACCGGCAAATGCAAGGAAAAGAAAAGGAACCATTGCCAAGTTGATGAAAACCAAGAAGACCTGGACGTGCCTAATAAAGTCCCCAGACAAGGTACTAATTCCACCCAGGGAGAAAGGAGCTTAATGCAGATGACTGGGCTCACTGACATATGTAGTTTCCCTCGGTTTTTTTTTTGTGGGGGGCGGGGATCCTCTGGCTCTGAGTTTGTGACCTAGCTCTGGCACTCACCAGCTGTTAAATCCCAGGGGTTGCTGTGAGGTTTCTCACAGAATGTGAGTGTGCGGGGTAGCCGCCACACAGAAAAGTGATAATTAGCATCCGTAGTCAAGACAATCGGGGGTAGGTACCGCATCAAGTAACACCATCCCATGCTTTCCATCATGTCACTTTCTTCCAGGCCAACCATTTCCTGCCCTCATCCCTGGTCTGGGAATGTAGGATGGGAAAGGTGTGGTCATGTCTCACTTAGTTGTGTTCTGAGAAGCAGGCTCCCTATCTTTCCAAGATTAAGTGTGAGCTTTGAAGACCTGGCTCACTCCATGGAGTTGCCACTGCTGCTAATGAATTTGAATGCTCGCCAGGAGCTCTAGCCTTGGCCTTCTGTCTATGGAGACTGCTCAAACACCCCCTGGAAGTCCACTTTAGGGAATGCCTGGCAATTGCTCAGGCAGCCACAAAATTAAACTCTGGGGGAAGTTTGAAAACTTCTTTTTTTTTTTCACTCAGAAGTACTTGTTTGTAAAACCAAGTTGATGCAGCTCTGACTTGCTGTGTTCTAAATCACAGATCACCCTGCTGATGAGGGGGCCAAACCTGATCTCAGTATTCCACTTACATCCCTTGATGCGACTGACCTTGAATGCTCACTGTGTATGAGGTATGTGACGTGGGTCATCACTTAACTGCTTGCTAGTTCCTTCTCTTTGGTGGCTGGGCCTTTCCCTCTAGTAACTCTTGAGTTAGTTAGTATGTAAAATCATGGCCCAGATGAGATGGAAATCACATTGTCACGAGACCGCTGGTGTCCCCAGCTTACAAATGGTGATCTTTACATCCTTAAGTCATGATTTCAAAAGATCTGGGGAGTGGCAAAGCAACAAAGGTCAAAAACTGATGGGCCCCAAGTGGAGCATGTTTATTTGGTCCTCATTAGATCTGATGTTGTTATGTATGACTGTACAGTGGGCATACACTTGCCAGCTGGTCATGATCCCACGAACTTATCCCAGCCTGTCTCACATTATTGCTCGAGCCTTCGAGGTATTTGAACTTGTGACCCTGAATCTAAACTACTACATTAAGGACTTAAGGGTTAATATCAATGCCATAAGCATTTTCTTTGGAAACCAAAGAGAAGCCTACATTGGTGTGTATTTTATGCTGTCTAAAGAACAGTACATATGATTCTTGGTCAAGCATTTTCCTTCCAACTAGTATGTTATCTATACTTCCTCAGGGCTCTAAAGAGCAGATTATCCATATGCCACACTTCAAGGACAACTAGAAAGATTCTGTGATTGTGGTCTGTTCACCACCTTGAAATGTAATAGTTTATTTCATTTCATAGCTGTGGTGTAGTAGCTGAGAGAAAGGGCTCTGAAGCCACTGTTGGGATCCTAGCTCTTCCCACCTACAGACTCTGTCCTAGAGCAAGTGACATTTTCTGCCACTCTTTTTTCTTTAGTAAAGTAGAAAACAGGGCAGTGAACTCCAGAGCTGTGATGACTGATTAAGAAAAACTATTCAGTGCCTAGAGTAGTGTCTGGAATACAGGGAGTACTCAAAAAATTAACAGTTTTTTTCTTCTTACCCAGAGGTCTTTCATGTTAGAGCCATAGACCTCCGAGGAAGCTCTTTGTGTATATTCAAATAGATCCATGAATTCATTGAAGTAATAAGCAAAAGTGTGTGTGTGTGTGTGTGTGTGTGTGTGGTTGTGCATATTTCTAAGAGGAAAGCACATAGCATTCTTTAGATTCTCAAATGAGGTGACTTTCTCCAAAAGTATTAAGAAAGAACTGAGACACTTGAACAAATGTTTGCCTGTCCTTTGCGAGCTTATTCCTCTCCTATTGGTCATATGAGTTTATATTCTGAATGACTTTTCTTAATCATCTGATTAAGAATTAACTATTACCTAAAACACAGACTTTTCTTAGAGAAAATATACTTGGGTCTAGGGGAGTAGCTCAGTGGGAGAGGACTTGGCTACCATTCATGAGGTTCTGGATTTAATAATCAGTATCACAACAATAATAGTAAAATAATAATACACAAAAAAAATCTGTTGTAGCAAGATTTGTTCATAAGCATAGACAGGTCTTAGCCAGTCATCAAACTAAGCTGCAAACACACTGTCAGGAGTCCGCTTAGGTGGTGTAGACAAGAGTGTGCTGAACAGTAGAAGTGGATCCTTTACACCGCTTCATCCCGCCCCTCACAACAGAGTGGCAAGTGCATCATGCTAAACCAAGGTAGGAGACAGCAAAAACCTGCTTTCAAGCCGAGAAGGGGCTCGGTACCTACTGAATCAGTGGCTCTAAAGCCCATGATAGGCACTGTGAAGTAGATTTAATTTAGCTTCCTCAGAAAGAGCAGGTCTTTGTTCTGCTTAACCCTCCTTAACACTCCTGCCAAAACCCGGGCGACCCACAATCAAACATACAGACTCATCCTGTTTGTGTTTTCCCTGTGGAATAAAAATCCTGAGGTTGAAATTCTTTTGTTCGTCTTCCTTTTCTTTTCCTCTTTCATCTTCTTTGTCCCTAACCACAAGGGACTTTGTAGAAGAGTTAGGAATTTGGTTTAAGAAATAAACACACGGAGGATAAGCACCCCGTCTAGTTCACACCCCCTAAGCTTAAAAGCCACTGTGTCCCTCTTTCTGACCCCTTGTTCCGTCTTTGCCCAGAGTAGCTAGCTGTTATGTAGGCTACTAAATTATAGCTAGACTCTCGCTGTCTTATGGTGTAAGGAACCTGGCTAGCCTAGAGGACTTTTTGATTAGAAGCTCTTAACACTTCAGCGGTTGGGAAGAAACATGCAGCTTCCCTTCCAACAGGCTCTGTCTGGAAGTTCCACATCAGATGCCGACGGAATTTCTTTAGTGTGGATGCCCTCACCTGTGTTTTTCTAGGCTTCAAAAGTTCCTTTTCCCACTTGTAGCCATTGGTAGTTTTGTCACGATTGTTGGTGGGTTTTGTTTTGGCCCTGGTGTGTCTTTGGAGGAGAGGCTTTGTATTTGGCTACTTTTCTCGTTGCTCTGACTAAATATTTGACCAGAGCAATTTCAGGGAGGAAGTATTTATTCTGGCTTTCCTTTGGCGGGTTGGTGCTCTCATGGTGAGGCAGGCCTAACAGCAGGTGGGCAAAGTGTGGTTGTAAGATCAGGAGCCCTGCCTCTAGCTCACATTGAGTTCCCAATATACAGGAAACAGGCCCTAAGGAGTGTCATTGCTTAGCTCACTGGCTCCTTTTCAGTCAAGATCCCAGCCCAGGCCATGCATGGCACTTCCCACAGTTCAGATGGGTCTTTCCACCTCAGACTAACCTAGACAATCTCTCACAAGTGTCCTGGAGGGTTCTCTCTTTGTGAATCTAGATCCATCAGGTTGGCAATTGGTATTAACCATCACGGGTCTAAAATCACAGGTAGTTTCAAGATGCTTGGGTGTGAATTAGACATTTGTACTACCTGTTCAAGATTCTAGACTGAAATCTAAGCCCTGGTGGAGAAAAGGGAGACAAAGCATGAATTTATACATTTTGATTCGAGAGAGGAAATAGATTGGGTTGTAAGTTTCACAGGGAAAGGGTGGAAAGTGTGACTGGAAGCCAGGGGTAGCAGCCAGCACACACTGCAATCCCAGCACTTGGGATGTCGATGTAGGAAGGTGAAGAGTTCAAGGTGATTTTTTGGCTACATAGTGAGTTCAAGGCCATGCTGGGCTACAGGAGGCCCTATTTTTCTAAAAAGTGGAAGAGTAATTGGAGAGTACATAATGAAACCCTTTTCTGTCTTTAAGTCAACACTGCTGAATTGGAAGGACTCCATTAAGGGAAGTCTGCCCCAATGACCCCCACATCTCAGAATCCTGCCCTGCAATCATTAGGGGCATGAAATTCCCCTTGAGGTTTATCTGGCATGCATCACTGTAGCCATTGGGGCTCATCTCTGGGCTTCTGTAAAACAATACCTTTGCGATAATTCTGTATTCTGAGATATGAAATGAGACTGTTTGCTATCTGAACTAGTTCTCTGGTGGCATAGTGACCAGCCACCATGCCATCTGGCGATGAGCAAAAGGGTCAGTTTTATATATAATCTTGTTATAGCTCCCTAAGTCACTGGGTATTAAGGTAGTTTTCCTTTCCTTTCCTTCTCTTTCCCTCCTGCTTCTTTTTCTCTCTTTGCTGTAACCTGACAGCAAAAGAACACAGTGCAAGGCTGTCACTGGTGGGGAAAGATAGCTCTTTCCAGATAAGCCAGACGTTTTATCTGGACTGACATCTAAGGGAAGGGATTTTTTTCTTACTATTGTTTACCACATCGCTCTGATAATGTGAAATGCTTTCTTGTGAGACAAGCCAGCCCTGCTCTGATTTAAAGCTGTCTCTCTGAAGTGTTTTCAAAACCCTTATCTTAAGTGAAAAAAGGACAGACAGACGTCCCAGTATATACCTCTCTCTCTTCGTAGGTAAGATGCTTTGTGTGTCTCTCTCTGCAGAGCAGAGGGAGGAGGGAGAGTGACAGAAAGGGAAGGAGGAAAGCGTTTGTGGAAGTGCACTTGGGCGGGCAGATGTCGGCTGAGTGGCTGGAATGCAGTTGAATATAAGGACACATGTAGTCCTAGCTGTCTTGTAGACCGAAAGAGGAAGATTAGTTGTGGAGTCAGATGTGATTATACATCCCAAGCTTTCTGTCTACCAGCTAACTCTGTAATCTTGGGCATGTTATCTCGTCTGCTTGCATTTTAATTTCCTCAGCAGTAAAATAGTTTATCATAATTGCCACTTATTGATATATAAAGTTAATTTTAATGAAAAATAGTGTTGCACACAACCATAAATACAGCAGGATAAATATATTTATGGTCTTAAAAGAGCAGTAGTCTCAATCATCAAGCTCTCAAGAAAAAATAGTTTTGTATATTAGCAGTAGATAGAATTTATCAATTATCCTCATATGTATAATCAATAATATCTAAAAGTATTCAGATATCATGAGTATGCCTATAATACCAATACTCAGAAGTTTGAAGCAGGTGAATTAGGAGTCACAGGCCAGCCTGAGCTACAGAGTGAGAACCCGCCCCTGAGAAACAGCAAGGGTGAGGAATCGAGGGGAGGCAGCACATATTTCTAATCCCAGCGAGCAAGAAACTGAGGCAAGAGGCTTGCCAGTGCTCTTAGGCCAATGGTGCTATAGAACAAGACCTTATCTTAAAAAAAAAAAAAAACAAACAATGAAGAATGGGTAGTGGTGGTGTGCACCTTTAATCCCAGCACTGGGAAGGCATGCAATATAAAAGTAACTACTGTAACCTCCAAGCTACACTCTTGAGTTCTAGTTTGTTCCTTCTTATAAGTTCGCCATGCGTATTTGCAGCTGTAAAGGGTATACTCTGATTTGTCCTAAATTGTAAAACTTAGATTGAATTTTAGTATATTTCTTCAGTCTGGTTTCTTCTTTTAAAGTCCGTATCAACATGTAAGTGGTTTGTTCATTTTCATTAGCACACGGCGTCTCGTTGTGTGAGTGTACCACAGTCTCCTCGTTCTATTCTAGATGGGTACTTAGCTGGGCTGGCTCTAGTTTAGAAATATCATGGATGGCCACCGCTTTTGCGTGTGCCAGTGTTTGCCTGGTTTTCTACTAGGTTATTGGTTTTCCCTACTGCTTTGGGTGTGTTTTTCTTACAAGTTCTAGGTATATTTTAGATACAAGCTTTTTCTTACCTGGGCATGGCAAGCACTCTCCCCTTGCCCTTTTAATTATGCTTTTAGATGAACTTAAAAATTCTTAATCTTAGTGCAGTTGAAATTAGTGATCTTCTCACTTATAGTTAGTGTTTCTTTGAGTTTTCTCTACTTCCATCTCTGTTTCATCAAGATGTTCTCCGATTTTACGTTCTGGAAGTTGTTTTTCTTTTCAGATTTATTTTTTTTTCACATCACCTGGAATTGATTTTTGTGTGTGGTATAAAAGATGGCCCACTTTCATGTCTCTGTCCAGATAGGGGCTCTAGCCTTTATACAGATTGTTTGTGCTTTCAAACCCTCCTGTGGCCCTGTTTGCAAATGTCACATTTGTCATAAGTCAAGAATCCATGCCTGGTTCTATTCCTGAGCTTTCTATTCTGTTCCATGGATCTATTTTTCCTTGTGCTGGTACATACTGTTTTAACCATCGTAGCTTTATAATAAGTTCTGATGCTTGGTAAAGCAAGCCCTCCCACATCCTTGTTCTTCAGATGTGTCTTGGCTCTCAGCCTTTTGCATATCCTTATTGCATTTAGAAAGATGCTTGCCAAGTTTTTCCTCAAACAAATCAACCAAATAAAATAACTCATTGGGATGTATTGAGGTGCAGCAAATGTTTACAGTTCTTTTCTAATTGATTTTTTGAGACTATCATTTCTGAGTCCTGTGTTTACATTATTTTCAGCTCTCCCTTTCCCCCTCCAACTCCTCCTGTGTCTCCTTCCTCCTTCTCAAATCATTGACCTCTTCTATTGACCTCTAATTAAATATGTGTGATACCATATACCACAAGGCTCACAACCTCTTGCTCTAAATTGAACACTCGTGGGAAGTCAAAAGAAGCTGGCCAAGATTTGTCTCATCTTGCTCAATGTAAAAGCCACTTGCTCCTCCTCCTCCTCTTCTTCTTCTTCATTTCTTTCTTTATTTATTTATTTAATTTTTTTTTGAGACAGGGTTTCTCTGTGTAACAGCTCTTTCTGTCCTGGAACTTGTTCTATAGACCAGGCTGGCCTCGAACTCACAGAGATCCGCCTTCCTCTGCCTTCTGAGTGCAGGGATTAAAGGTGTGTACCACCATCATCCGGCTGAGCCCCAGTTAATAGTCACCACCAGCTGTCCCCTAACTCTTGGTCCTGCTTCAGATGAACCTCTCTTTACACAAAATAAATCTATGCATCTCTGAATGTGTAGAATACTTTTTTATTAAGGGTCCCCAGTTTCCCCAGATTGATTTAAAAACATCCTCCTGCCGGGTATTGGTGGTGCACGCCTTTAATCCCAGCACTAGGGAAACAGAGGCAGGCAGATCTCTGTGAGTTCGAGGCCAGTCTGGTCTATAAGAGTTAGTTCCAGGACAGGCTCCAAAGCTACAGAGAAACCCTGTCTCAAAAAACAAAAAACAAAACAAAAAATCCTCCCTTCTGAAAGCAATAAGATCTATTAGGAATATGGTACATATAAACATACTTTTATTTGTAAGAATGTAAGTAGATATATGCACATATTTTACATGTCTATTGATAGGAGTAAATGCGTTAGCATATTACTTACTACTGCTAGGAAAATTATCTATCCACACAAGAGGCAGGCGCATGTTTGTTACAGATGTAAGAACCTTCAGGCACCAAATGTCACTTAAATGAAGGAAAAATTAAAGGTTAGCAAACGAATTGAGTTTTTCCCCCATTGTAATATGGTATACATGGTCTATGTGTGTGTATGCATGTGGCTATCTCTCCGTACGTATTTGTGTGCTTACAGTATACTCTGGTAAACAGGTTGGCCAAATACTTTCTTAATAATGGAATCTGTTCAGACACTCTGAGCACTAATCTGAATTTTTCTTAGACCAGACAGGAAAAGGCTAATGTTACAAAATAATTTGGTTATGCCCTAAATATGAAGCTCTGCATCTTTCTACATATAGTTCAGGAATGAAAAGGAAAATGCTGGCGATAAGACACACAGAGTGCCCTCCCTCAGGTTTGGATAAAGAGTTCTGTGAACACTTAACCATGAATGCCCCTATCTTTTATTTTGAAATCTCATTAAAATTTCTTCTATTTCATTTGCTAAATTTCAGATTATTCTATGAGCCAGTCACAACAACTTGTGGGCATACCTTTTGCATGAAGTGTCTTGAGAGATGCCTAGATCATAACGCGAAGTGTCCACTGTGCAAAGATTCTCTTTTCCAGGTAAACCGCTCTTTCTTCCTCGGTTGTGTTAACTTATTTTTTACTAACTCAGTGCTCAACTGGGTCCTAAGCCACTGTACTGTGCTTGGCCAAAATACCTCCCCCCATCCCCCCCCCCCCCGCTTACCATCTGTTTATTTCTGCTGTCTCCTAAACATCCTTTCTCTCTCCACAAAGTCCTTCAGGAAAATGAGGCAACATCTAGCTTTTCAATAACTCTCAGTAATGAAGTTCATTTGTGTTAGAAGCAAAAGCATGAACTAGACGATAAACAGAAATCTTGGTTCTGGTACCTTTGTGGCACTGCATAAACAATAATCTTGAGTGAATTTTGCTTCCACTATCCTTGAACTAGATAGCTCTGACTTCGGCATACAGTGATGTTTACTTATGCTTAAAGAGGTCAGCTGCTGTAGGCCCCAGCCACCACCTGCTCAGAGAACCATCTCAGATGTCAATGTGATCTTTCGACAACTCCTCGGGAGCCACCGCTCTTATCAGCAGATACTTGTCAAGCTTTGAGGACTTGAGAGTCATCAAAATTAACGATGCAAGCGTATATCTTCATGTGGGCCTTATGGGCTTTCCTATAGCAAAAGAAAGAGATGTATGTTGCTTTCCTTCCTTCAGAGACTCGAGGATCTCAGCTTACAAACAGTATTACTGTTGCTTTCCCCTTATCATCCCTGAAAAGAGGCCGCAGGAGCTGGGTTATCTCTAGAGAATGGCAACGCAGGCTGGTAGTTCCAGGATTTGGGAAGCTGAGACAGTGGCATTGTGAGTTCAATGTCTACCTGAGTCACCCAGGATAGACCTTGTCTCATGAAGAAAAGTGATTATTTATAAGTTCTTTTTTTTACAAATATTTATTTATTTATTTATTATGTATACAATAGTCTGTCTGTGTGTATGTCTGCAGGCCAGAAGAGGGCACCAGATCTCAGTTCAGATGGTTGTGAGCCACCATGTGGTTGCTGGGAATTGAACTCAGGACCTTTGGAAGAGCAGGCAATGCTCTTTACCACTGAGCCATTTCTCCAAACCCCCCTATTTATAGGTTCTTATAGGCCCACAGAAGTGCATGCTGAGCCTCTCTTACCTCTGACATTGACAAAAAGGAGCTAGAGCGAAGCCATCGTCCAGGGTAGCCTTGAGAAGGAGAATGGGAAACCGCTAATGGAATAGCTTCACTTAGATAAAGACGTGGGATTCACAACCTGATTGTAGATAAGATTCTCATGGTTCTTCTATTTAAATGAGATATCCATGCTGAGTTAGTTAACACCATAAAGTTCACACCAACAGAAGGAGAAACTTCTACCATATGCTCAGCCTCTAGAGAAAAGCGCTGTTACCATTTTAGGGTGTCCGCTTCCTGGAGTTTTGTTTTAGCATCAGCAGAGGAATCACTTTCCCACGTAGACTGCCTACCTCTTGAGGCACTGCTTTCCCCTAAAACCTGGGACTGGACATTATGGATTTTTGCCTGTTGCCATGCAATGGCCGTACTTGATAAGGCATCCAGAAGGCAGAAGCCGTGGGATCTCAGACTCAGAGGCTCGAAGATATTCTCATCTAGCTCTGTATTCATCCAGGGGCATACTTCCACCACTTAACAGAGTGATACATATTCCAGCCATGTTAGTTGTTGAGTAGAGACTCCTGGGGAAGAAACAAAATTAATTGTCTGAAGCCAGCAATTTGGTACTTAGGAGCTCCCTCTGCTGAGTCCCACCACAATCAATTCTCTGCAGATATTAATTTTTTATTTATTATTATTTGAGAATTTCACGAGTGCTGTATTTACTTCCTTTTTCCCTCTCTCCTTCCATCCAATCCTGCCTATGACCCCCCCACTCCCTCTCAATTTTGTGACCTCATATTCTTTAACTAGTGTTTCATATATGTGTGCATATAAATATATAACTACGACTTTCCGAGTCCAGTTAGTGTTGCTCATACGCATGTGCTCTTGGGGCTGATCACTGATATTAAATGACCAATTAACGGCTTTCTCCCTGGGGAAGATGGATCCTTCCCCTCCCAGCAGCCTTTAGTGGCCTGGAGCTCCTCATCTAGGAATAGCTTCATGGGATTTCCTCATTACACAAATAATAGGTTTTCTGGGGATGTCATTTGTTCAAGCCTTGTTTAGAGAATTGTATTTTTGTTCAGATTTTATGGGTACAACTTTCCAGGCATATAGAGAAGGAAGCACACATCCTGGTCCTCTGGCTCTTACCGCCTTTCTGCCCCCTCTTCTGTGATGTCCTGAGTCTTACATGTAGGGATTGTGTTGTAGTTGTTCAATTGGGGATGAGCAGCCCACAGTGGATTGTTATCTACATTTTGACCAGTTGTGACTTTCTGTACTAGTCTTTGTCTGCTACAAAAAGAAGCTTCTTCGGTGAGGGGTGAGAGCTGCACGTCCCTGAAGGATAAGTATTTAGAATACAATTACAAATAGATTGTATTGCTTTAGGAAAGTTGAAATAATAAGTTCTCCTCTAAGGTTTTACTGTTCTATTAGAAGATATTTTACCATTCAATGTTTGGGCCATATTATTAATACATACTGCACTTAGATCTCTGGGTATGCATATGGTAGGGACATTCTAACCTAAGTCTGATTCTGAGTTTCAGTGATACCTAAGATGGTGACATAAACTGGCAATGAGACAACCACCTGTATTTGGCCATTAGTTTTTGTGTGGTTTCTATTTTAACTAAAGTTAAGACATGGAGACTTGGCAATATCTAGGAGCCAGGGATTCGATTGGAGTGGAGGTGGGCAAGGCAACAAAGGGTACATGAACACAGCTGTCTGATTCTCTGGACCCTTTGTGTTTCAGCACTTCCAAGATAGAGTTCGTAAACACAAAAATACAGTTCAGACATGAACCTCTCAAATCCAAAGCTTTATGACATCTGTGAAATTTTTCAAAAGCTTAATGCAACATTTTTTGTTAAAATATTTTTTAATTATAAATGTTCAATTGAATTTTTTTAGGAAAATCATAACTCTAACATCCAAAAGATACATATATTGTGGCTGGATTAGCTTCCAAATCCAAATTACAACACATGCATGATTTGACTACTGTCTGGTCTCCATCAGACTACATCTGGGCTACACTTGATTGTCTGTGTTTTTTTTTTTTCGTGTGGACTGTATATTATCTCATTACTTTGATCCATTTCTAGGGCTTTCAATCAAGAAAGTACAGCAAGAACATAATAATGGAAGAACTAATAGCTAAATTCCTGCCAGAAGAACTCAGGGAACGAAAGCGCCTTCATGAAGAGGAAATGGAAGAACTTTCTAAGTATGTTTAATGCATGTTTCTGGCTTCCGTTTCATGTGTGTCCACTCACAAAAACTGACACATTTCCTAGCAACTTCTGGTTCAATGATGCCATGTCGTTACTAGCTTGACATGGCCATGAGGAGAATATTTGCATCATGGAAGTCAACAAATGCTACAAATTGTCCTCCCCCCCCCCGCATCCCTCTCAGAAGCAGTTGTTAAACATTTACCAGTATGTCTCCTAAGAAGCTCAGCGGCAAAGCACAGAGGCACCTGATGCGTCTCAGCACTAGGAAGTACGTGCTATGGGCTGGACTGAGTTAACGGGCAGCTTAATCAGCAGACCTCATGAGACAGCTAGGAGATGCCTTCAAGTCCTTAAGCGGGTGATGGCTGGGTAAACAGTGGTGTGAAGCCACACCTGGGGTTAAGGCCCAGTTCTATCAGGGAGTGTGTTTCGTGGTCGTGGACATGCCATTCAACCTTTCTGGGATTCAGTTCCCTTGCCAGTGACTTGAAGCTGATAGCTCTTGTATTGTAGGCTTATTCTGAAGACCCGAATGAGTTGCTGCACAGCAAGCACTTATTAAGGCAATAGTGCCTATACTCGCTGTGTATTTTCTCTGCTGCACAGTATGAGAGGGGAAGGCTCGGAATGGAGACATAATTGGATCTTCCGGGGCTCTGAGTGCCATGCACTTAGCAAAAAAGCAGGAAATAACAGCTAAGTCCTGCACCTCTGGCTGCTGCCCTCTACCCGGCCCTCCCTAAGAGTTCTGACAGCGTTCTGCTGGAAAACAGCTTCCTGAGGGAAAAATCACGGCTGTTTTTATGCCCTCTGGGAAGAGATCACTTTCGAACTGGGCGTCCCATTTGTCTGGATGTGCCTTCACTTCACATGTTTTTCTCAGAGACTAAATTTTTTTTTATATTGAAACCACTCTGCACAGTTTTATCTCATTTCTGATCCTTCACTTAGTCTTTAACCCAGTGGTTCTCAACCTTCCTAACGCTGTGACCTTCTAATACAGTTCCTCATAACATGGGAGTCCCAACCATAAAAATATTTTCGTTGCTACTTCATAACTGCAATTTTGCTGCTGTTATAAATCATAATGCAAATACCTGCTATGCAGAGTATCTGATATGCAACCACTGTGAAAGGGCTATTTGACCCCCAAAGGGGTCATGACCCACAGGTTGAGAATGGTTGTTTTAACCTCTCTGAGTCCTTTTCTCAACTATCATGCAAAGTTGTCCTAATAAATAGTGGTACATACTGAGGGGCTTTCTGTTTAAAGGCATCTCAGACTGGACCCCTTTTAGGATTTATACAGATGGTCTTACATTTCTTGGCCCCTTTAGATGTAGTGTCCCTGCACCAGTTTTACTGGATGCTTCAGGGGACTAGGATCTATGAAGAGCTGTCCCAGTTGGGGATTCCCCATAGAGCCATGTGTCTGAATTTTCAAGGATATTTATTGAAAGGCAGATTCCTGCATCGCAATTCCAGAGGGAATGCATCAGTATCTCTGAAGGTGTAATGGTCCAGTCATCTAGACTTAAGGGTCCCCAATTATTCTTATGTCCATGAGCATTTGAGCATCACTGGGCTACATTTGTCTTGGCGGTCTCTTGCTGGCTACTCCTCCTAGCTGGGTCTGCTCTCAATGGTCTCTGAGAGACGTGGCAAACTTGAGATGCTTGTAAGGACTTTGCGGTACTGCCCATCTGCAAAGCTGGGTGCATTTATAACATCAGTGCTCTTCTTCATATCTCAAACAAAATGCCTGAAGTGGTCCAAATGAGAGAGAGGGAGGGAGAAAGGGAGGGAAGAAAGGTAGGAGCAGCATAGTACTATGCTATTAGTATTATAATACATCATTATGTATTATATTATGTATTAGTATACTGTATTACTGTATTAGTATTATAATACAGTATTATGGTAATCGAGATCTAATCAACAAACTTAGAATGTGTGCAATGCCAGCTTAGGCTTTCAGACTTGGATCATGGAAATTGCCTTACAGAATCAAGTGCACTTCAATGTTTCCCTATCCGCCATTAAACTTTGATGACTCCTTGTCTTACTCCAAGGAAACATACTGTGACATTGACCAACCTGTCGGTTCTCTGCTCCATTGGTTTAAGATCCATTTCATCTTCTCTTCCCGACAGCTTAACTAAGAATGTGCCTATTTTCGTTTGCACCATGGCCTATCCCACTGTCCCTTGTCCCCTGCATATCTTTGAGCCTTGTTATCGCCTGATGATTCGGAGATGTATTGAGACAGGCACAAAACAGTTTGGCATGTGCCTTGGAGATCCTGTCAGAGGGTAAGTGAGGAGACCTAGGGAACAGGGAAGTTAGGTATAAGGGTGATGGAGGAAGGTCATTGGTTAAATAAATAGAAACTGCTTGGCCCTCATTGGTTAGAAGATAGGTGGGAGGAGTAAACAGAACAGAACGCTGGGAGGAAGAGGAAGTGAGCTCAGACTCCAGAGCTCTCCTCTCGGGAGCAGACGCCTCAGAGAGACGCCATGCTCCCAGCTCCCAGGCAGACGCACCCGATGAAGCTCCGACCCAGGATGGACATAGGCTAGAATCTTCCCAGTAAGCGCACCTAGGGGCGCTACACAGATGATTAGAAATGGGCTAAATTAATATGTGAGAATTAGCCTAGAAGAGGCTAGATAGAAATGGGCCAAGCAGTGATTAAATGAATACAGTTTGTGTGTTGTTATTTTGGGCATAAGCTAGCCAGGCAGCCGGGGTGCTGGGGACACAGCCCCACCACCCTTATTTCAACATAAGGGGATTTCTCTTTTACTTCGGAGGGCTTCGTGTGGTGGGATCAACCAAGTTCGTGAGGTTAGCCAGCTCAGAGCACCCAAACATCTGTGAGGATCACGTTCCCTCTGATACCTACTTTATAGTATGAGTTCTATTTTAAGTAACCCCAGAGGTAATCTTTCATTAAGCAGGTTCCATACATTGCAAAACTTGTCTTGTAGGCTAGGGCTGTAGCTCAGCTTGCCTGTCAGTCACAAAGCCTGGGAATCGATCCTCCGCAGTACATAAACCTGGAGTGCTGCACACCCACAATCCCAATAGTAGTGAGTTGGAGACAAGATAAAACAAAGTTTAAGGTCACCCATGACTACATGCGAAGTCCAGGGACAGCCCACAATACATGAGAGCCTGTCTCAAAAACAAGTGAAACCCAGAAACACACAAACAAAATTGTTTTGTAAAGAGTGTTAGCCCTAGAGCTAAGTTACCCACTTTAATATTTGAGTGCTGGCCTTGGAGTTACCTTTGATGTTGGGAAAATCATTTAGCCTTTCTGTCTCCAGTTTCTTTGTATGTTAAGTGGGCATGATGGTATGCCTACCTAGCTGGTCTTGCTTATTGGGAGAGCTGATGGGCTCCAAGCATTACACAAGGTTCCTATCCAAATAAGTCCATTGGGGATACTGTAATATAATGTTGTGTAGCAAGTAATTTATAAGCAATAGGGTTTTTTTGAGCCAGGGTTTCATACTGTAACCTAAGGTGACCTGGAACTCACTGTATAGCCCAGACTTGCCTCAAACTCATGGCAATTCTGCTTCAGCCTCCCCTACATTAGGATTCCAGGTGTGAGCCACCACAGGCAATAGACATTTATGCCTACAGTTATCAAGGCTGTGATGCCTACAGCCAATGTGCCAGCATCTGATAACAGTAATGTTTTCTTTTTCTGAATCCAGAGTCTAGGTAGGTGTCTTAGTTAGGGTTTCTGTTGCTGTGCAGAGACACCATGACCATGGCAACCCTTCTAAAGGAAAACATTTAACTGGGGTGGCTCACTTACAGTTCAGAGGTTCAGTCCGTTATGGTCATGAAAGAACATGACAGCAAACAGGCAGACCTCTTGGTCAGAAGGCAATAGGAAGTGGACTCAGACACTGGGTAATATCCTCAGCATAGGAGACCTCAAAGCCCACCTCCACATTGCCACACTTCCTTCACCAAGGCCATACCTACTCCAACAAAGCCACACTTCCCAATAGTGCCATTCCATATGAGCTTAAAAGGGCCATCATTGCGTTCAGACTACCACAGAAGTTATTCTACCATTGAACTATATCCTAAGCCTATTTTATTTCATTTAAGACCAGGTAGGACTAAGTTGCCTAAGCCAACCTCAAATTTGTGGTTCACCTGCCAACAGCCTCTTTTGTGGCTAGGACTATCATTATATGCTCTCATGTCCAGGATGTGGATAACATCTTGGTAGAAAGGCAAGGAGGAAGGGAGAGAAGGGAAGCCCAACCCTCCTCTTGCTAAAGAACACACTTTTGCAGTAATTAATCCACTCATGTGGGCAATGCCTTCAAGGCCTGATCACTTCTTAAAGGCAGGACCAGTGTTAAAATGGCAATTCAATTTCAACACCAGCTTTTGAGAAGGACAAACATTGAAACCAAAGCACTGCACATAGTGTGCAATCAACAAATGAGAGTCAGTTTACCATTCTGTTCAGATCTTTTCTCCTCACAGGTGCTGTCTGATGGATAGGTACAGTTGTAGATCAGCGCAGAGAAGTCCTCTAGCAAACAGCCCAGGGTGCTAGGCATGGTGATCTAGGCCAAGGACGGCAGAACTCATCAACAATCCACTCTCTTGACTTGATTCTCAATAACCAGCTTTGCAGAATACGGCTGCATGCTAGAAATCAGAAATGTCCAATTCTTTGCTGATGGCCGATCGGTGGTTGACAGCATAGGCAAGAGGCGCTTCAAGGTGCTCAATCAGGGCCAGCGGGATGGCTACAACACAGCTGATATTGAATACATTGAAGATCAAAAGGTAAGGGCAGCCAGGATCAAGAAACCTAAAAGTCAAATTATTATTGTAGCTTGGTATACAAAGATGATTGTGAAGAGGTTTCTCAGAATTGGACTGGGGCCTTGGGATTTCTCACCAAATTGGTCCTAGATGAATGCTACTGGGCAGCTGCCCACCTGCATCCAAAGCCCTCTCTCCCCCTTTCTCTCCCTCTGGGGGCTCGGTGTAGAATGGGGTACACATAAGCATTTTAACTACGGCTTGATTTATATTTTCCAGTGCATTTTTTGAGATTATTGTAGATTGCAATAGAAATTCATTTTTAAAATGTCCAACCTGCCTAAGAACTGTGTTCCTACCTCAGAGTCATTCAGCGTCCCCAAAAGTAAAAGCAAAATGTCATATACCCTGAGCTAAGGGGTAGAGGAAGAGGTCAGTAATCCTATGCTCATTTGTATAAATTAGGTTGTAGATTGATGCATGGTGAATGGATAAATTCATTTGGCCTTGAGGATGTGCTGAGGCACAGATACAGCCGTATCTCCCTTCCCAGTGAGTAGGGAAGAAAAGGACATAAAGATGGAAGGGGCAGAGGCATAAAGCAGCCCAGTGAACTTTACTCATATGCCATCACCTGGGCTAGCTCAAGCTTCCCGCTGTTGTTTCTCTGCCTGTTGTTTCGGGCATTTTTCTCGGTTAAACCTTTCGTCTTCCTGCTTTCTATGCCATATTCGTACCCAGTCCAGCACCTGGCTGCTGGGTGTTCCACATTTGACCGAGGAGAGAGCCAGAAGGGGAAAGGAAAGGCAGGTCAGAATCTCAAAAGAGAGTCGGGTGTCCGAAAACAACTCTGAGGTGGGTGGAGAAGGCAGAGACTGCTTCACTTGCATTTTGATATTTGCAGGTTGAGGGAGAAGACCGTGCTGAACTCATGGGGCTGCATAACTGTGTGTATGAGCAAGCCTCCTCGTGGTTTCATTCGCTCAAAACATCGCTCAAGAATCGGATACTAAATCACTTTGGTCCAATGCCAGAGAAAGATGAAGATCCCCAGGTATAAAAGTATATCTGTTCAGAACAGGTTGCCCCACCAGGTGGGACATTCCAGGCTTTGTAACTAGATGGGTGTGGGGTTGGCATCCAATATAGTCTTGTGTGGCTAAGTAGTGAGCATCACAGGTAGGACCAAAAGGATCCCCAGTCAGAATTGGCTTTATAAAGGTAAGTAGTAGGAACTTGGAACTAAGACAAATATTGAGACATAGGTGAGGTGAGAGGAAGGGAGCAGCGACACTACCGACAGGAGAGCCTTCGATGGGAGTCCAGACCCACAGCCATGGTAATATTAGGTGACAGGGACAAATGTAACAGCCAGGGAGTAAGAGAGATGAAAACTAAGGTTGCACCTCTAGCTGGCTTGATGTCCCCTTTTCCAGTTCTGCAAGAGCTAGGAGGTAGGATCACCTATGCTACAAGAGTCCAGCTGCAGAATCCTTCATAGCCGGCCCATCAATGTGTAACCCTGCGAGTCTAGACTCTTGCCATTGTTCCTAGGTTGAGCAGGTCCTGAGAAAGGTGGTCCCCAGGACATAGTTCATTAGGTTCTACTGGATTGCTCTTCTTCCTTGAGGCCTGGGTCTCTACAAGCTCAGGCTGCAGATCCAGAGTACACTAGGAATGTGGGGAGAATTCGGTTTTCCCACAATTTGCCTGCCTTGTTTTTCAATCAGGCAGTGTTTGTGGGGACTTCCAGTTTGGAGAAGAGACGGACTAAGCTGTACTATTCTCTTAATGCTGCCTTTCCCTATATGCTAAGCTGGCTGCCCCCACACTGCTGGAACCTCTCTGATTTCTTTTCTAACGTATGCTCCCTGATTCTATTACCATAGAAAAATCTGATTATATATATATATATATATATATATATATATATATATATATATATATACATACATACTCTGACTTTTCTGACAGTGTGGCTTTGGGTAAATATCTTTCCCCTTTCTCAACTTTTCTCTAAAATCAGAGGGGATCATTAAGAGTCTGAAGTTCCTCCTCTTCCTTCATTCTGAGACCTCAAAACACATATCTGCTCCCTAATGGGCTGAACTGGCTTGCTTCCTGCAGCCCACAGAGTGGCTCTTCTCCCTCCGTATAATGGCATCCCTCGCATGTTCTAAAGAGAGCAAGGGCAGCAAGTGCTTTCTGGTGACCCAGCTCTTGGCTATGGTGATTTAAGAAGTCAGCGTAACTTGGAACAAGGTCATGTTCGAGCTTAATGTTCCTCTTCACCTGCTGAGGAACATTCTCTGCCAGTCAGGCAAAAGATACAGAATAACAGTGCTAAGCACATCTTCCACAGGAGAAAGCACAGGTGCCTCGGTGTGATTCATAAGGCCATAATGACATGGCAAGTCCGAATCATTTCCTTTCTTATTAGTTTTGTTATCATGTTGCCTTGGTGGTGGCGGCGACAGCAAAAACGCATCCAGTTTGCTGTATCTAATCCTGCAACCCCAAGCAATTCCACGAATAAGAATTTTGCGCCTCGGTGGGAGGTTTCTTAGAAACAGCAATGGTATTAACATCAACTTAAGTCTCTGCCTGGTGATCCTGGGAAAGAAAGCTCAGAATAGCAATCTGGTATCCAAAAGTGATTGTAAGAAAATAGATTGCACACTACAGTGAGGTACACACACACACACACACACACACAAAGACAGAGACAGAGGAGATGGGGGTGTCCCAATGCTTTCAGGGACATTCAGGGAGAAACCCACACAGCATTTTGGAGTAAAATAACTTCATATGGAGGGAGCGAGACCAGCAAGCGCTTCTCTACGAGCCGAAAGCTGACTCGTTCTGAAAGTTGTGGGAAGAAAACTCATTTGAGGCTTAGTAATAAATGTCTAAGATGTGTGCTCAGGAAGCTGATAACAAAGAACATGTCGGTGAAGGATTGGTAAGGGATGAGACATGTCTTTATTGGAGAAAACCCCGAAGGTTAACAGGAATGTATTTCCTAATTGAAATGTTTGCTTGCTATTCTTTGAAACTGGAAATCATAGCTCTTGGTTTCAGGGGAGAAGGTAGCTATGGTTCTGTTTGGGACATGGTATATTTAGACTACAGCCGTCCACCAAAGTAAGAAAATAATGGGTGTGAAACCATCATGCCAAGCCCAAAGAGCCCTAGGATTAAAGGCCTGAATTTTAAATGGATAAGTCCAAAGGGTCTTCGGAGTGAAAGAGAGAAAATAGTTGGTACTCCAGAGCTTGTAAAACCACGCTGCTTAGGAAGCACAGAGTATGTGGTAAGATGCTGGTTTGCTTGGTTTAACAAGTACTAAAAGAGACTGCAGCTCCAATGAGGGAGAAGGCCCCAGTCCTGGAGGACTAAGACAGTTCTATTTCAAGAGAGCATCCAGGACCCAGGCTCTTTTATCACAGGGCTGTGCCATCTCTAGAAAGTTCTTTTTTCCTGACTAAAGAAGACTGGTCATCACCATGTCTTCAGTCTTGCTAGAGAAAGGGGAGAGGATGTAGAGATGCCTCAGAGGTTAAGAGCACGGGCTGTTCTTCTTGATGACCCAGGTTTAATTCCTAGTACCCACACAGGGGCTCACAGCCACCAGCCCAAGGGAATCAGGTGCCTTCTTCCAGCCTCTGTGGTGCACAGACAGACATGCAGACAAAACCCCATACACATAAAATAACAAAAGTTTAAAAAAAGAAAATGAAAAGAAAAGGAAAGAAATATGGAGACAAAGGTAGTCAGAGGCCGCATGCTCTTTTCCCAGAGCACGACCCAGAACTTACCACTTCTCCTTAGCCACAGTTTTGTCTATGGCCTCACCTAGCCACCAGGGAGACCAGGAAACAATAGTGTCCCGTAGCAGCTGCCACCATGTTGCTGTGGGCTCAGCTGAAATGAACGAAGAGCAAATGAAGTGATGAAAGCTCTCAGCAGTCTCGGCCACACACCTAAGTGGGCCCATGTGGGGTGTTTACTTTATGCGTGGGGACTTGTGTGTGTGGACTGCACGGTAGCAGGATCGATGAACTGTGTTTCTCTGTTGCAGGTTAATCCGAACGGTCCAGCCTGGTGCTGGTGGACATTAGCCGTTCTTCCCCTGGAAACCAGAGCTCAGCTCCCCTTCCTAGCAATGAAGTCCCTAAAGGATAGACTGAATGGTATTCGGCGAATCCTGGCCTTTATAGCCAGAAACCAAAATTAGGGGGAGCAGACTGGGAAGGAGGCATTTCCACCCTATCCACTGCCCTGGGGTGATGTTCTTGTATCAGATATCTAGTTGTAATAACACGTTAACAGAAGAGAGTATTTTTGAGAGATGTTGCTATGCGTTTTGACCACACATAAGTTGAGTAGGAAGACAGAAAGGATGTGACATGTTTGACTTTCTGTCTTCAGATGCTTTTTGACACTAACAGCCAGAGGTGTGGAAGAGGCCAGTAAAAGTCGCTGTTTAGCGTCAGTTTTTCTAAAAGTTTGTTTGTCGTAGCTGAGTGACTGTGTGGTTAGAATGGGAAGCGGATGCAGGCGTCACTGTATTCTTTCACTGACTTGAGGTCTCATTTCAAATGGTTCAGGTTTTATAGAGCATTGTGTAAAATAATGTTCATACTTCTTTCTGTTTTAATAATTTATTTTTTGCACTACTGTATCCTTTTTCTACATGTACGTTTGTAACTATTTAAGTTTACCTTACTGAGAAGTCCATTGCTTTATTTATTGAAGTGGTTGACTGTATGTAGGGGATTAACAGTACTAAACATGTGTGAGGTTCTTTCTTTACATTTTGCTGAAGTAACCGTAGTTCTTAGACTATTTTTATATAGTTCTTGTCTATTCTAGTGGACTAAGTTTCAAAGAATTTTAGAAGGATTCTGAGTGCTGCCTGGATGTATAGAGGTGTGGGGCCATCCCCTGGGGCATGGAGAACATACCAGGGACCACACGTCCAAAGAAAAAGGCGTCTTTCTCCTCTATAGTCAGTAGCCCCTCAGCTAAGGGTTTAAGTATTTTCCAATTATCTGTCCAGCTTCCTTGTAAATAAAACATTCCTGTATCATGGTTGAGTCAAGCAGATCACCTACCCACTGTTTCATCACTAGCGCTGTCATGGAAGAAGGCAAGACTTTTTGTTACCTTATCATCCAATGGCTAATATGTTTGATGAATTTTTTTTTATCTTTTTAAATTTTTTTACGTTTAAGCTTTTTAAATTTTCATTAAGTGGTTTACCAAGAAGAGCTTAAAAGGAGCTGAGGAGATGGCTGAGGGGGTAAAGGCACTTTGTTGCCAAGTCTGATAAACTGAGTTCAGTCCCTGGAATGTACATGGAAAACACACACACACACTCACACAAGTACACATGCATGCACGCACACATGCATGCACTAGCTAAAAGGACATTGAGCCTATAATTAGTGATCCTAGAGAAGCTAAATAAGAAGGAGAACCCAAAGAAAAACATATAGGCAGTCTCCTGAATATTAACCTTCATCAGGCGATAAAAGGAGACAGAGACAGAGATCCACATTGGAGCACCGGACAGAAATCTCAAGGTCCAAATCAGGAGCAGAAGGAGACGGAGCACGAGCAAGGAACTCAGGACCACAAGGGGTGCACCCACACACTAAGACAATGGGGATGTTCTATCGGGAACTCACCAAGGCCAGCTGGCCTGGGTCTGAAAAAGCATGGGATAAAAATGATTTTTTTTAAAAAAATAATAGCTTAGGGAAGGATGGGAGGGTGTGTAGAGGGAGTGGGAGGAGGGGAGTGGGAATTTAGATTGATATTTTTTGAAGTAATAAAACAATGCAAAAAAGAATAGCTTAAACCTGGCGGTAGTAGCATCCACCTTTAATCCCAGCACTCACAAGGCAGAGTCAGGCAGATCTCTGTGAGTTTGAGGCCAATCTGGTCTACAGAGCAAGTTCCAGGACAGCCAGGGTTGTTACACAGAGAAATCCTGTCTCAGGGAGGGGGAGAATAGTTTAAAGGCGAAGCCAAATCATGAAGCAGTTTTATAGCACCGAGGATAGAACCTGAGCCCCACAAGCCCCAAACGAGTGCTGTGCCACTGAGCTCCAGCCTCAGCCCAGCACCAACTGAATGATAGGAAAACTGATAAAACTCTCTGGGCCATTGTGTGATATTAACCAAACTGGCCCCAGCAAGAGAGCTCCAGCAATGCATCCCATCTTCTCTGTGGTGCTGATTTGTGTGTTGTGCAAGAACAGAATTTATGAAACTTCTATTTTACCATTGGAAAAAGGACACAAGAATGAAACAGTTTAAAAACGGACAGAAGCCAGGGATGTGGTTCAGTTGGTAGAGTGCTTGCCTAACCTGAAGAACTACGTAACTTCAGCATGGCGTGCCTGGGAGCTGGTAGCAGGAGGAATAGAAGTTTAAGGTCATTTCCCTTACGTAACTATTTCAAGACAAGCCTGGGATTCTCAAGACTTTAAAAACAAATAAACAGAGAGAGAGAGAGTGTGAGGAAAGGAGGGAGGGAGGGAGGGAGGGAAGGAAGGAAGGAAGGAAGGAAAGACTGAAAAACTGAACTGAAAGACTGGGATATAGTTTAGTGACAGGTTGTTTGTTTAGTATGTACAGGGCCATGGGCTCAATTACAGTTACCAGTAAAGAAAAAAAATTATTAATAATCCAGGTTCACTGTCACACCCCTGTAATGCCCACTAGAAAGGCCCAAAAAGGATGATTTTGAGTTCAAGGCCACTTTGAAAAGTATGAAAACCCTTCTCTTAAAACAATAAATATGAAGTAGAGAATGGCTGTTGTAGGAGCTGCAGGCTACGTTCCTGGCACCCGGCCGCCCGAACGGCTAGCTTTACCCAAAATAATTACACAGAAACTAATCTTTTAAACACTGCCTGGACAATTAGTTCCAGCCTCTTATTGGCTAGCTCTTACATATTGATCTAACCCATTTCTAATAATCTGTGTAGCCCACAAGGTGGCTTACCAGGAAAGATTTTAACCTGCGTCTGTCTGGAGTGGGAGAATCATGGCGACTGCCTGACTCGGCTTTTTTCTCCCAGCATTCTGTTCTGTGTAATCTGCCTACCTAATTTTCTGTCCTATCAGGCCAAGCAGTTTTCTTTATTAGTTAACCAATGGAAGCAACAGATAAGATACAAGACCCACCTCCATAATTTTCCCTTTTTCTGTTTAAACAAAAAAAGAAAGGCTTTAACTTTAACATAGTAAAATTATATATAAAAAACAGTTATCAAGTAAGAATTACAGTTGCAATATTTTATATACTTTATCTTTTATTATAACTAAGGAAAACTATAACTATCTATTTTTCAACTCCATCAAAGACTCCAGAAGGATATAATATTACCTAAGCAAACAAGAAATCCAAAACTCTAGAAATGACAGAGGCATCTCGCTGCCTGGACAGTCACCCAAAGTTCCTCTGTACCGTTGGGGCATCCATCTTTGGCCTTCAGGCCCATAGTATCCAGAAGACATTTTTATGAAGCAGGAAATTTTAAAGACAATTTAGTCACTTCTGCTGTGTCCTGTAGAATGTCTCACAGACTTTCATGAATCAGGAACCCCGAAAGACCATCTCACCATTAGGCAAGTTCAGCAGTTCTCTTTCTGCAGGTTCTTTGTGTCCAGTTTATGCAACAGTCCAGGAAAGAGCAGTTTCTTGCCCAAATGGCTATCAAACTCCATAAGGAGCCTCTTTGAAGTCCATCCTTCTCTTGAAGTACATTGGTGCTGCCAGGAGCAGATGTGTCTCATTGTCATGAAAAGTCCTAAGTTATTAAAACATTAAATGCCATATTCTGTAGTCTTTGAAAGATATGAAGAATGCCCATCTAACTGAAATATATATCTATATATCTAGAAAATCTAACATGACTACAAGCTTGACTATTATCAATGATTATCCATCAACAACCTTTATTTCCTAATTATATGTTACATTATAAAAATGAACTATACAATCACAATACCTTAATCAAGATCAGAAATACATATACATATAACAAAATTGACCTTAAAATCCACACCAATGCAAATTATTTATATCTATATCATATCCCCCTTTAAATGTAAAAGAACATTTATAAACAATATTTGGGAGCATGGGCACAGTTTTTTTTCTCCAAACTGCTTTCTGCTAAATGGGGGCGCTGTAATTTGGGTCTTTTATGGGACACCCTGTCTGTTAGGTTCATTTTAGTCGGCAATTGAGCAAAGTAATTTTTTGAGGGTGTTCACAGCAACCTTTCAGGAGGGCGTGGTCTATCATACCATATTGGGATAGAAGCAATCCACAGGGTCTCATCCTCTGTGAAAACAAAAGAAGACCCTCTCCAAAGCATCATATCCTTAGACCCAAATTCTGAAGTTATACCCTCATGATATCTGTTCTGGTTCCACTTGGCAGCCCATATAATGAAATATCTCTCTGTACTTAGCTCCTTTACAGTCAAAAATTTTAAAGAAAACACAATAATACAAAGAATCCAGACTCTCTGTGAATTTTTCATTTTTACGTGGCTTATTTTTCTTTATTTCTCTTAATCTATAACTATCTGTACTCTGTCTCTTTAAAGACTTTACCTTTTTTTAAACCATTAACTTTATTCTCTCTCTATATATTTTTTTCTTCTCTCTCTCAAGCCTATGTATATTTATCCAACATTGTGATCCATTTATAGGTCTTTTATGTCTGAAATCTGTTTTATTGTGAATCTGTAATTTTTTTACTATCTAGGAGCACTTTGTTTTGCACTTTTAAATCGTTAAGCGCTTAAGAATCTAAGTTGTGACATTCCTAGGTCAAAAACAGGTACTGCCTGCTTGCCCCGCCCGGTCCAACATAGCGGAGCTGCTTGTGCCTCTGATCCTTGCACATTACACTAGTAGCGTGGTGGAGCTGCTTGTGCCTCTGAGCTACAGCATGCAATTACTTCCTTTTAGGCACACAGTGAGTCTAGTTGCCATCAAACAAATCATAGCACTTTACTCCAAATGCTCCTTTCAAGAGTCAAGAACTCAAGAACAATGGCAATGGGTTTTTGATCCTACTGCACGTACTGGCTTTGTGGGAGCCTAGGCTGTTTGGATGTTCACCTTACTAGACCTGGAAGGAGGTGGGAGGTCCTTGGACTCCCCACAGGGCAGGGAACCGGTTCTGCTCTTAGGGCTGATGAGAGA